CATTTTGTATTCTCGAATTTCTTCGCTTTTTTTTATATTAAAATTATCAGTGTTATAGTTTAGAGTTACGGGCAATACTGATTAAGTAATTCTAATATATTTAAGTTTTAGTTATTTTCTTATTTATTATTATTATTATATAATTTGTTACGAGTACAACCCCCCTAAGTCCATATAACTATCTACCTGTAGTTACACAATCAGCATGGATACAGCGATTGTTCTTGGAAAGTATGTCCCAATACTTTCCTACAGTTGTTTCCAACTCTAGTTTTAGTCGCGAACGCGAAAAGGTTAATTTTAGTATAAGACGAATCAATCTCGATTCCTAAATTGTAAGCAAGAATTAAATTAATTAATTAAATGAACTTTCTTTGTTTTAAAAAACCCATCACCGATCGTCAGAATGTAATTAGTTCATCAAAAATTTATTTAGTAGCAAATTATTATAACCCGTACGATTTTACACATGGTCTTATAGAGCCACAGTGGTCACATAAACCCCGGTCTATCTTTCTGTAGAGCGCGTAATCCGAGCTGAGAGAGGGTTAATGGCGCGTGAAAATGTTTAAAAAACAATATTCCTGATGAACCCCACTCACTGGTCACCTACTGTCTCAATGTTTAGACAATGTTGTAATCTTTACGTCTATACTAATATTATAAGGTAACATTTGATTGTTTGATTACATTGAATAAGCTCCGAAAGTATTGGACCTATATGAAAACTTCTTTTATATTCAAATTCAATTCAAAATTCAAAATATCTTTATTCATGTAGGTCTATTACAGACTCTTATGATATGTCAACTCTACCGTCAGTTCGGAATGATATCGAGATGAGAAGAACTGACAAGAAACTCAGCTCACATTATTTAAAAAAAAATTGTACATGTTAACAATAATACACAGTCATTTAAATTCAGATTTGGGAGAAAATTACCTCCAGCATATGCTATTGCAAAAAACAAAAAATCTAATCAGTGTTCGCAACCTGAACAGACCAGTCCCCACAAGCAGCGCCCGATCACGAGTATGACGGATGAGCCAGCCATCATTGCACTCAACCATATTAGAGGGAGCACATCGATCCGGCCCACCACGCCGCCACAAGTTTGAACTTTATAGCGAGCATGACTGTTTCAAGTTACTCCACTACGTCATTTATATTATTTACAGCATAGGCTGTACCAAAGACGGTTTTCACCCATCACATTCATTATCATCATCATCATCATCTCTGCCTGGAAGACGTCCACTGCTGGATAAAGGCCTCCCTTAAAGATCTCCACGACGATCGGTCCTGCGCGCTCGCATCCATCGCCTTCCAGCTTCCAGGTGGACCATCAATCTTGACCAGATCGATGGTCCACCTTGCTGGAGGCATTCCCCCTTTAAAATTATTTTAAGAAAAACACGGCATCTTGACGGCCTCGGTGATTTAGCGGTTTAGCACATCGCCTTACTTCCGATAGTCGCGGGTTCGATTGCTTGGATATTACAAACTTTTGTATTAATGAGTATGATTCTTTGATGAATGATGTCAGGTTAGATGACGTCCACGCTATGTACCCTGGATATGATTGCAGTCAATTTCTGTTGATTTCGTTGGACTAACTGACCTGACCTCATGATCATCTTATCATCCTCCACTGGTGCGCCAGCGTATACCGTTAACGCAGGCGGAGGTACCATTCCATCATCAACCATTAAAATTAATTTATACATATAAATAAAATTGGAGTGTCTGTTTGTAATATTGAAATAAGCGTCTTTTACTACATGCACATGAATATAAATACTGTACATACACCAATTACAATTTTTGTCCGTCTGTCTATCTGTTTGTTTGTTCTGTCTAATCTCTGAAATGGCTGGACCGATTTTGACGCGACTTTTTTTGGTAGGTAGCTGATGTAATAAGGAGTAACTTAGGCTACTTTTGTTTTAGAAAAATTCTTTTATTTTAGAAAATTATAGTTAAATTCCACGCGGATGTAGTCGCGGGAACAGGTAGTAAAAAATAAATACCAACAGAGTGTTAATTTTTTAATGAAAATTTGGACACAAATTTTACGCAAGGGTTGTGAAAAATGATTGGACCACCGGCACTACGATTCTGTGACAGTAAGTCAAAAATAATAAATATAGGATAAGGTAAATACTCGACTTAGTTACATCCGGTTATCACTACGTCATATCTGTGCTACATACATAGTATAAAACAAAGTCACTGTCGCCGTCCGTCCGTCCCTATGTATGCTTAAATCTTTAAAACTACGCAACGGATTTTGAAGCGGTTTTTTTTAATAGACAGAGTGATTCAAGAGAAAGGTTTATATGTATAATATATGTACACTGCGAAGCCGGGCGGGTCGCTAGCTAAGTAATAAAATAATAATTACCTAGAGCAATTCACACAGCGCCATCTAGTCTCAAACTAAGCTAAACTTGTGTTTGTAATTATGTACAAACTCAATAGAAGAGATGAGATTCTTGTCAGTTCTGCTTAGCTCGAAAACACTACGACCTGACGGTAAATTTGATATATCATAAGAATCTGTAATAGACCTACGTGAATAAATATTTTTTTTTTGGTACTAGACAACTAAATAATAAATATTATTATTAGTAATTATGTCTGCTTAAGACACAGCTATATCAAGCAAGTTAAAGAAAAAGTTGGAGTCGTGTCGTATCAACAGCTAAAGGGACTGATAGAAGATCGTGGAAGGTGGCGGGAGCTCCACCGATAAGAGCACAGCTCTTAAATTATGAATGAACATATAAATAATTTTTATTTGTGTTATGGGTACTAGATAACTGATACTATTTGAATCAGTTATCTAGTACCCATAACACAAGCTTTAGCTCGCTTAACTTGGGTCTAGATGGCACTGTGTGAATTGTCCTGAGATTATTATATATTATATACAACAATAATAACATTAATATATATGTATAACAATTATTATTGTTTTTATTATTATATATTCAATATATATTAAATCGTGTACTGTATTCAAAAGTTTTATTATTTGAATTTATAATGTCATATCAGAATCAATTAGTCGCTTCATGTAAAATCTGGGCCACCTACATCCATGCTTCTTAAGTTTCACCCGCCTTGGTACAGTGAAAACTATATCACGCGGGTTCGATTCCCGGCCACGCCCGGTGTCGTGTTGAGACTGGTTCGGAAAAGTTGAAGATGTTTTGCAGTAATTACGGTCAAAATTTCTATGAGATATAACTTTATTATAGTGTTTTACTATTTAACAATTTTGTGTTACATTTAATAAAAATGTAACTGAGTTTTTTTTTACATTTTTTTCATAAATTTACATGGGACTAACTATTATTGAAAGACTGTATCAGTGTAATAGAACCTAAAACAATTATTATTAGATATTTGTCTGGTTGTATGTGCGTTTGTGTCCGGTAATCTCAGGAACGGCTTAACCGATTTGCATGTGGTTTTCAGTAGTGTAATATAGTAACATTTACTTAAGATTTAATATTTCGTTTTGTCAATCGGTATAAAAATAAAAAAGTTACATGCGCACAGAGCCGCGGTTTCAGCTACTAGCTGAAGCTGAAAATTATTTTAGTTGGCTACATTTTGATATTCTAAAGTATAAGAATAAATAGATAAGAGATAGAATATTAAAGATTTTATTATATGTAAAATATATAAATATAAAGTATTTTATAAACAACTAGCTACCCACCCGGCTTCGCGCGGGTGTACATGTAAACCTGTCTCATGAGTCACTCTATCTACTGCTAAAAACTGCATTAAAATAGTAGTTTAAAAGAGAGCGGAAGCGATTTATTTTATACTATGGATTATAAAGGTGGATATAAATTTGAATAATTAATTGTATTATATCTTATAATTAAATTAATCAGTATCAATATTTGAAATAAAATAAGAATTTAACTTTTCAACCTTTAATATTCGAAAATAAAAGTAGCAATTAAAAGTGCAGCTAGTAAATTACTCTACAACATTAGCTATTTGCGAGTGAAAGTCCCGTGAAATCGGTCCAGCCGTCTCAGAGATTCGCAAGAACAAACAGACAATGTGTTTTTACATCAATATTATATTTTATTAATATTATAAACGCGAAAGGGCAATTCTGCGTGACAAAAACATCCATTCATACTCACAAATAGTTAGTTAGTAATAGTAGTTTTTGATTAAACTTTACAGTAATATATATAATAGCATATACGTCAGAATAATATATAGGCTATAAATTCCATGCGGATGAAACCGTGGGCACAGCCAGTATTGTGTATACTTTCATAAGCATTCGGTGATTAGATGTTATTTCAAATTACAAACAGACATTTCTATTTTATTTATTTGTATAGATTACGAAATAGACTCGAACTATATATCTATACATATGAATAAAATTGGAGTGTCTGTTTGTAATATTGGAATAACCGTTGTTTACTACATGCATATGAATATAAATTCGGTATATACACCAAAATATCATTTTATACAATTTTTGTCTGTCTGTCTGTTTGTTCCGGCTAATCTCTGAAATGGCTGCACCGATATTGACGGGACGTTTTTTGATGTAATAAGAAGTAACATATTCTACTTTTATTTTAGAAAAATAAAGTTAATATCCACGCGGACGAAGTCGCGAGTATAGCTAATATATATATAATTCACATTGTCATTTGTAACACTGCGGGGTCCAAAATATAACAAAGTAATAACCCAATTGTTAATCGAACTTACTAAAGCGAAAATACGTTCCAATGAAGTCGAATATTCTATCAAACAATACAATATCAACACGAACCGGGGCGGGGGGAGGCAATAATTAATGATGATTGGCCTTAAATTACCCTCTCGGAGCCTTTTTTCGTCCCACTCCCGCTCGCACGTAACCGTTCTTTCTATCCTTTCCCGCAAAACGGGACCCTATATAAGGAAAACAGGTAAGCGCGAATTTTAGACCCCTACGGGACGCACACCTGAGCACACCTGTATTACTTTCTTTATAATTTGATCGCGATCAGAATGGCAACCGAAACTTACGGCCATCGATTGTTGTATACCGAAAAAGATATGTTTTCCACTGACGTTATTATGGAATACGCGACTGAAGATTGCTATTTATCGTGGCCGAGGTCCCCTGACTCTGGTAGGTCCAGCTTGGAGCCTACACCTTCCATAGACGGCAGCATCAACCATGATTCTACTCACATCGCCTATAGAGGATTATCAGACGACATCGTTCTGGAAGACAGTGCTGAAGACGGAGAGATGGAAGGTTCCAGCAAGAGGAGAGGACGGGCGACCAGTGCAGCTGTATTGAGAAGAAGAAGATTAGCAGCTAACGCTCGTGAGAGGAGAAGAATGCAGAATCTGAATAAGGCTTTTGACAGGCTACGAGGACATCTGCCTTCCTTGGGTGCTGACCGGCAACTCTCCAAGTATGAAACTCTACAAATGGCACAAACATATATAGCGGCTCTATACGAACTTTTACAATAAATATAGGTACGTTATTAATAATAAATTATAGTGACAATAGTTGTTAGTTTATATAAAAATAAATATAATGTAATAATAAATTTTTATATTATATTTATTTAAATATAATTAATAAATGTTTTGCACAACAACTTGTTGAGAAACTTCTAAGAATTTCTTTATATTTATAAATATATATTCTAAATTCTTTTTAACTATTGCTTTGTGTCAAATTCGAAATTAGTACGAAATGGTTAAACTAGTTAATTAGCTAAAATAAGTTAGTACGTTTGGTGTTATTAACACCTTCAGCGCCAGTACCTAAGTCACCGTTTTAAAAAAAAAAACAATATTTTTTTTGTAAAATTACTGATTCCCAAATCATTCAAAACGGAAAAATGCGACAGGATGGTCTTTCATTTGTGTAATAGATGTACAGAGAACGTGTTCCTAAAGGATACACACGCGTTTACTAAGTAGAAAGATATTGTATTGTGTATATGTACATTTGAATACAGTGTTCCAGACACTGTGTGCATATGGTGCCTAAGGTGTTAATAATGAAAGGTTTATAGACATAGAACGTAATCTACAGCGCACCATTAGAAATTATAAATACAGGGATATTTATTACATTAGTACCATTTAATACTCAGCGTGTTACCAACTATGTTAATCTTATTACTTTAGGGGATTTGGTAAATGACATCACCTCGTCCCACGGTTTTGTGTTACGGTGTAAAGTTTCAGCGAGTCTTTAGTTACGCTTATACTTTATATATATAACATTATATTAATTATATTTTATATTTTTAAGATTCTGAACAGTGTAATCCGTCCTGCCGATTAAGTTAGTGTTTTTTTAATTAATGATAACGGAATGGTGGACCCTCCTGCGCTAACGGTTTACGCTGGCGGGGCACCAGTGGAGGATGATAAGATGAGCATGAAGTCAGATTAGTTAACACATTATGGTGAATTCACCTGAAAATAACCATGATGGTTTCCAGAAGGAACCGCGTGGAGGTCGACTTGACAAATATTGCTAGCTATTTCCCTAGTTTCCATGACTAATAATCCTAATTCCATTAAATTAGTGTTAAGTATGTCATCTTGCCAACAAAAGTATTATTTTGTATTTGAAATTAAGTTGTTTTATTGTATTTAGTAATCGCGCCAGTGTAATTGTTATTAAGTGCTATAAGATAGTAGATTGTTTGTGAATATAGAAATGTTTTTGTAAATAAATTATGTTTGAACTTTAAATATATATTTTATTACAAACTTATAAGGTTCTAAGTTATACACCAATTACAAACATATAGATGAGGTGCAGAAAAATGCTAATAAAAGAAATGGAGGTGACTTTATGTGCCGCAAAGGTGAATTGGTAACCAACTCAGCATAAAGCTACAGATAAATCTGCAGCGCTGATGTTCTGTTGGCTCTTGTACTTATAGTATATATATTTGACGGCCTCGGTGGTCTAGCGGTTTAGCATATCACTTTAATTCCGATGGTCGCGGGTTCGATTCCTCGCACGGCACAAACATTTGTATTCATGAGTATGACTGTTTGTATCGGTCTGGGTGTTTTCTATGTATAATATGTATATATTTACGAAAACAAAAATTATGTACTTATCAGTTATCTAGTACACATAACACAAGCTTTAGCTAGCTTAACTCGGGTCTAGATGGCGCTGTGTGAATTGTGCTGAGATTATTATTATTATTATTATTATTATTATATACATATATGTATTGAACAACGAAAGTTTTTTGGTGATAAAAATATTTAATAAGCTTCCTGATGACATAAGAACTTTCTCTGGAATATTATTTAAAAGAAAACTGTATGAATGGTTAATTTCCGAGTGTTTTTATTCAATTAAAGAGTTTTTGGAATATTAAAATAATAAATTATACCTCATAACATTTAGATTTATATAGATACAAATTGACATATACAAGAATTAATAATTATATAAAAAATCTATTATTTTATTAACTTTAAGATTTGTACGCGTGACATAAGCAGATTTTGCAAGGGCCATGTTTTTGTTTAACATCATATATGTATGTACCCAAAATCTACTAAAAATAAATTTACTATTATTATTATTACTATTTAAGTTATTCCTCATCACACGAAGGATATGTGGGATGCGTGGTGATAATAATAATCCCATCAAAAACATAAATGTGAAATGATAGCCGAGTTTAATATTATGATATATGCCTTGATTGTTGACTTCTACGACAAAAGAGATGAGATCTAAATGGGTGCCAAGTTCAATGGTCTGTCCTGAAATGTATTTATAACAATATAAAATATCATTTCTTCTTATAACTTAGGATAATATACTGTAGCCTAAGGTCTAACTTGGCTAGTTTTCATATACGAAATATACTTTAGCCTTCGCAAGTTCTAAACATGTTACTTGTCGGTTCCGGAGGGGTCAAAAGTGGCTCCAAATGGTTCGTGTAAATATACACACGGTGCTGCTTGCCAGTTTACTTGAAACTCGGCTTGACACGCTGCCGCGTGTCTAGATATTTGAGGATAACTCACACAGCGCCATCTTGCGCGAAGCTTGTGTTATTAGACAGCTAAAACTTAAATACAAATTTCTTTTGCAAATACATACATAATATACACGGGAAACATTCAGAACGATACAATCAATCATATTCATTGATACAGATGTTTGCCATAATCGAACCCGCGACCATCGGAAGGAAACCGTCGTATTATTTTATGGATGATAATGGAATGGTGCAGCCTGCGCTAACGGTTTACGCTGGCGGGGCACCAGTGGAGGATAATAAGATGAACGTGAGGTCAGGTCAGTTAGCCAGTTTTTCCAGGAGAAACCGCGTGGAGATCAACCTGATATACTTTGTTAGTGACAGGGTAATTAATCCACATATTGTGTAATTATTTATTAAAAAAAACATTTATTTAAAATAGCAACACAGAAGTTTCTTGCTCATTCTTCTTGTGATGAAGCTGCATGCCAAATGAATAGAAGAATAATATGACAATTCAAAAGTGCTTCTTGTACTGATTTTATTTGAATAAATATTATTTCTATTTCTATTAATATCAATCTCCTTTCCCTTCTGACAGTACAATTATATACTAGTTGACACGCGCAACTTCGTCTGGATTACCCTTACTTGAAATTTATCATAACAATTCACCCAATTTACATAATATCTTTACAAATTATAGCCAATGTTCAAGAAAGAAAGAAAGAAAGAAAGAAAGAAAGAAAGAAAGAAAGAAAGAAAGAAAGAAAGAAAGAAAGAAAGAAAGAAAGAAAGAAAGAAAGAAAGAAAGAACGAACGAAAAATATATTTATTTGGCGCATACACAACATATATATACAACATATTACAAAAAATTTAACTAATTATTTTAAAAATATAGCTGCAACCAAATTGGTGTCCACTCAGCTTTGTATCTGGGCTGTAATGCCCAAACGGTGATTTTCAGTGGAACCTTGTAGAAATTTAAAATATATAAATTGTGCACCCACTGCTGCCTGCGTGAACCTGCGCTGTTAGTGCTTCTGATAAGGTGTAAGTGTATGCTATGATAATGTATGTTATTCTGATGTATAAGCTATATTACTGTAAAGTCTCATCAAAATCCGTTTAGTAGTCTTTGCGTGAAAGAGTAACAACTAACCATCTATACTCACAAACTTTGGCGTTTATAATATTAGTAAGAGTCAACAGACTGGGAGGTACATGTGTTTAATACTATTAACCGACTTCACAGAACGATATCTATAAAATCTCCAATGAGGGGAAGAGGTCAGCCGTTCGAAAGGGCCCTTCCATCGGAGTGGCAGGACAATTATTCAGGATATGTAAAGTAGACCGGCTGTGAACTGATCTAGCAAGTTGCATCTGCTTTTAGGATTTTTTTTGTCACGGGAATTTGAGTCTTATGTTTCATATTTCATATTGTTTATTGTTTATTCACAAATGTAACAAATCTCGTTACACGTCAATAGTAAATACATTTTTTTTTAAGATAATTATGTCACAATTACAATTTTAAGTAGGAATTCAAAATAAACAAAGACAAAGAATTTTCTAGCTATTCAATGAGGGAACGCTGCCAGTGTCTTCGGAACGTTGCCTAAAGGGACCCCTTTTAATAATATATTTTAGTCATCTTTTAGTAGTCACTGTATTAGAGTAAGTAGTATTGTTAGTATATTTCTAGATTATAAATATCATCATTCATATCATATATCATTGTAATTTTTATAGTTGTTGTTTTTTTTTGGTTTGTTTTTTTATGATATACTGTTACTATGATTATTATTATTAATGTATGTATTGCATACGTTTATTTGTATTGATATTGTACTGTAATAATCACCGAGAGCATGTAATTTTATAAATAAATAAATGTTATTGTCGGAGTTGATTTCTTATTTACAGATCGTATAAAATCTATCTTATATTTCGCTGGAAAAGATGGGTATTCTTCACCACCAGGGAAAAATATTAGCATTCGATAGTCCTCCATATAAACTACTAGTAGATCCAGTCACAAGTTGCTGTGGCTAAGGTTCTTGAATAAAATAATATTGCGACTATAAATTGAGATGTAAGCTACCCTAGCTTTCAAGTTGGATCAAATTGCACACAATGTGCAAATCAAAATTGCAATCGATTCAGTAGTTTAGGAGTCCATCGCTAACAAACAATGTGACACATAATTTTTATATATATATAGATAAGTGTGCGACATTTTATACTCCTCCATCAGTGCAATTTTCGAAAAAAGAGGTACTAAGTTGTTGTTTCACGTATTAAAATAATATTTCCATTGTAACATCGGCTATATATAGATACTAATACCTGCAAAACACACAAAGGTTTAAGCATGCAGACGAAATCGCGTTGGGGCATTAGTGTCTAGACCAGAGGTTCCCAAACTTTGTGTCGTAGACCCCTGGGGGTCGATATATACCAATTTGGGAATCACTGGTCTAGAAAAAAAAATATTCTCATCCAGTTATAGC